ACCTTGGGAGGCTAAGCTAGACCCGATTTGGAACCGCTTGAGCACTGTGGAGCGAAAATGTCAAATTTTGCATCATCAGTCTAGTGCTCGTTGCAAGACAGCATATACACTGTGTTTCATGAAAACCCACGTATGCAGCTGTCAAAAAATGGGGGAATTTTGAAATCATAAAATGGGTGAAAAAATACTCATTTAAAGAATCAGTTCACGGTTGAATAATGGGTATATTTTTTACCCACTAATGGGTGAAAAAACACTTTAAAATTTTCTGTCACCGATTCATTGGGAATGCAAACACCCAACAAACAATTGCCTATTGAAGAAACGACTTCTTGACGATTTTATTCCACTTCATGCTTAATAATACTTGTACTATTTTTAATAATAACTTCTGTTCAGGCTTTGTTCACACAAATTTGAAGAATTTATTCAACCACAACATCAAAATATTTGGTGTTGAAATAAGGTATGTCGAGATGCTTTTATTCGACCTACAAAAGTTGTAACAGAGCTTATTCGATCAAATTTTTGATTATTCAGCGTTTACTAGACATCATTACTTCCTTAAACAGCGATGGTATAAAGGTGTATATATAAGCGCTTGATTCTCATGTGAAATAATGTTTAATTAGACAGTATCATACATTTATTAAACGATTATTCAACTACGGAATAATTAATCCGAAAATAAGAATGGAACAGAGGCATGGTGCTTGTTCTCGTTAGTGGTTTTTGTTGTCATTATTTTTGTCGAAGCACGCACCCTACCCTACACACACACATATAGATCCTAGAAAATTTATTACATACATACACATACACACATGTCGTTAGATGGGATTCGAACCATGACCTTCCGATCACCAGCCGCGTGCCTTGCCATCTGAGCTATCCTAGAATACATCATAAGGGCAGCTAAATAAGTAATAAAAGCTTGAATCTGAAAACCTATTAGCACTCCCAGCCGTAACTCTAGCAACTCTAGAGAATGATTAATTCCTTCATAGTTGTTTAACATGAGACCAACGTTAACTCTCCATCTCTCTAATTTCGATGGAAAAGATGCTATTCTTTTCGATAGATCTATGATTTGGTTGTCGTGAGTGATACGATCTATGATTACGATTAATTAGGCGTAGAAAATAAATTAAAAAAAAGGTTGAGGCTGGGATTGAACTCGCGACCTTCTACTTGGAAAGCGGAAACGGTAGCCACTATGCTACCAATTTCGTTTTGTTGTTAGCCTGAAGCAGTGTTGTGGAATAATAAATGAATACGCCGTTTGTAAAGCATTTACAAAGCATGAAATTAAAACATGGACGCATAGTGGTATAAGAGCTGTTCTGCTGACTGTACTCACCTTCATTCAGCAATATTGTTAAGCAATGCAATGGAATCTAATAATGGAGCTAGAAAACAATTATTAGACGTATAATAAAGCATGTTATTAAATCAATTTAAAAAAAATCGAATTAAAGCGTCACTGTATGTGCAAATTACACTTATTCAGTATGTTATTAGATCAAACTTCTGGTGTTGAATCAGGAAGACAGTCATCATTTGTATAGATTTTAATAAGGATATTATTCAAATCAGAGCAATCAGCGGAATAAAGGCGCATCATCGATCTCAATGAGGTTTTCTGAGTACATAATTTGACAACCCTTTTTTTCAGCATTGTAAACTGTTATAAAGCATTTATTCAATCTATATGCTTATTTGTGACTCTGCATTGTTTGTTGGGCAGTGTTGTGGAATAATGAATCTAATATGTCGTTTATAAAGCATTTACAAAGCGTTCAATTGAAACATGAACGCATAGTGGTATAAGAGCTATATTGCTGACTATATTACCCTTTATACAGCAATATTGTAAAGCAATGCAATGAAATCTAATAATGGAGCTAGAAAACATTTATAAGACGTTTAATAAAGCATTTTTTTAACTAGTTCGTTTATTTGGTAGGCTCAATCGCGTTAGCTTTACGGAGCCGATAGTTCATTGTTCTTTGTTTGTAACAAAATTCACTTAATTCTATGTCTAGTAGGAGTTGGACCGAATACTCGCGGCTTACTCGAGGTTAGAGAGGTACATTTTCGAAGGATAGGATCAGGAGAGGAGCTTGGGGGTAAGGTTTCGTTGTCTCATCAGAGTGTTGTCGCCAGTATGAATGGTAGTGCGGTTCTAGTTTCGTCTGGAGTTCGACCGGCTATGGTGACCAGTGGGTGACGATGAGACTCATCGAGACGGGGGGACAAGACAAACAAAAACTATTAAAGAGAGACAAAAGACAAAGGAATTAAATTCTTATACTAAACATTTGAAGAAACACATAAACCGACTGCTAATAGCAGATATCGTGAGTTCCCAACACGTCTCTGATAGAAACATAGGGTTGTCTTCCTTGGGCCTCTAGGGTATTCAAAAGTCGCTCTCTGGCGGCGTCATTATCCGTACATTGCCAAACTGCGTGTTCGATGTCATCGTAACCGTTTCCACACCGACAGATGTTGCTGTCCACGAGGTTTAGTGGTTGGACATAAGTCTACTCATCATGCGAATGAAGTCCCGACTTAAGTCCAAGCCTTTAAACCACGCTCTCGAAGAAACATTAGGAATAATTGAATGTAACCACCGTCCAAGATTTCCACTATCCCAATCGGTTTGCCAACTCTAAAGGGTACTCCGACGCACTAAATGGTAAAATTCATCGTGTGAAATTTGCCTGCCATAAAATTCGCCTTAATAAAACATTTTATTAAAGCAATTGAAAACAGTCGAATTAAAGCGACATTGTATGTGCAAATTACACTTATTCAGTTTGTTATTAGATTAAACTTCTGGTTCTGAATCAGGAAAACAGTCAACGTTTATAAAGCTTTTAACAAGTAAATTAATCATATCAGAGCAAACGGCGGAATAAAGGCGCATCTATCGATCTCAATGAGCTTTTTTCAGCACATAATTCGACATCCTGTTTTATTCAGCATTGTACACTGTTATACAGCATTTATTCAATGTGTATGCTTATTTGTGACTGTGAATTGTTTGTTGTTCAGTTACTGTCTGCAGCTTTTTTAGCAAAAATGGACGATCTCTGGAAAAGTTTAGAATCCGGAACGTTGGAGAGGCTTACGGATGAGTAAATACAATTTTATCCAATATGGTATCATAATATTTCGTGTAATAAAATTTGATGGGAACACCTGCATTCATTTTCAATGTATTAGAAAGTTTTTTATATCAACGAGGACACATAACCAAGCGCTTGCATCCTCCTTTTGAAAAAAATGGGTATTTTTTCACCTATTTTACGGTAAACACAATTTAAGAAAATGGGTAAAAAACAACCATTTATTGACAAATCACCCATTTACCCATTAATGAGTAAACTATAGTTCATCCACACGGTAACCGCAAAATACCCAATAATGACTACAAAGTAAGCATTTTCAAGAGAGACTGGGACTACCCATTAAATTAGTAAAAATATTACCCATTTATGAGTATTTGTTACTCAAAAATGAATACTTACTACTTGTTTTTGTAGCTGTAATTACTCATAAATGGGTAAAATTTTACTCATTTAATGGGTAGTCCCAGTTTCCCTCGAAAATGCTTACTTTGTAGTCATTATTGGGTATTTTGCGGTTACCGTGCATTAAATGAGGAGGGGCACTTTTAGGACTTTTAGCAGATATGGGTGTTTTTAAACCCATTCATGGGTTTTTGCGAAACACCGTGTAGACGAGTGCACGGAAGGATTTGAGTTTACTCACTCGACAAAAAGTTACTGAGGCTGTCTATTAGGCCGATTTTTTTTTAAATAACTGAACACGTCTGTACAAATAATTACCGTAATCAGTTTTGATGCGTACAATACAGATACATCGGTAATTAAAGTAACAAAAATTTGTAAAATGCATAATTTAAACTGATTACTCGTTATACTCGTGAGTTTACAGGGCAAAATCTGTAAAAATATTACCGAGCAGTGAAAATAAGATTGAGTGTGTAGACGAGTGCACGGGTGAACTTTTGTTCATCTACTGAACAAAAATTGACACAACAGCAGGGCCCTGTTTACTAAAGAAGAACACGTGAATAATACTCGCGTAACATTTGAAACGCGCCTATCAACTTTTGTACCCAAAACTTGTTAAGCCCTTTTCACGCAAACCGAATACGCTCACGCAAACTAACAACACCATTGGGTAGGGGAAATTCTCTTCTTCCGGATAGTGTTCTTACTTTGCGTAGGCGTACTTCGGTTCTCGTGAAAAGGACATAGCAAATTGTTTACAAAAGTTGATAAGCCCTTTTCAAATGTTACGTGAGCATTATTCATGTGTTCATTTTTAGTAAACAGGGCCCCGCTATTGTGTCAATTTTTGTTCAGTAGATGAACAAAAGATCACCCGTGCACTCGTCTACACACTCAATCTTATTTTCACTGCTCGGTAATATTTTTTACAGATTTTGCCCTGTCAACTCACGAGTATATCGAGTAATCAGTTTAAATTATGCATTTTACAAATTTTTATTACTTTAATTACCGATGTATCTGTTTTGTGCGCATCAAAACTGATTACGGTAATTATTTGTACAGATGTGTTTAGTTATTTAAAAAAAAATCGGCACAATAGACCGAGCAATAGACAGCCTCAGTAAAACAGTACCGAGTAATCGCTAAAATGCATTTTACGAAGCTTTTGTTTACATAATTTTGGCAGCGGCAAGGACAAATATTAAGGAGCGATTGAAAATGTCGATCTTTTAAATTTAATGCGTCACGTGTGTACCGATATGGCTTATTATAGTCTGTATGGGGTATAAGTCATTATTGAGTATTTTTCGGCTACCGTGAAGTCTCTATTATTTTTATCTTCGTGCAATAAAATTGTGTGTGTAAAAGCTAGGTTAGCCCTTTTCAGTTGCATCCGTCAATCTCATCCTCGTTTCGATTCTTTACTTTCTTTTGTTTACTATCCATTTCAAAGGCCAACACGTGAAAAAGTAGTGCATCCCATCCGTTCAAAATAAACGCTCCGGAATGAGTTCCCGACGTGGCGACGGTGGCCGGCGAGTACGCCCCCAGAAGCACCAGAATTCGTTTGCATTCAAAAACGATCTGCACGATAAGCACACTCCGCTGATTAAGCTAATCACCACGCTCAACATATGTGAAGTCTGCGAGAGGTGCAAGGAGCAGATCGATTGGAAGATCAAATACCGCAAGTACAAGCCACTCACTCAGCCGGGAAAGTGTAACAAGTGCAACGAACGGAAAATCAAACGAGCTTATCACGTTCTTTGCCGGGATTGTGCTATTGAGAGCAAATGTTGCGCCAAATGCTTGAAATCCTGTGAGGAAGTCAGTATAATTCCACCGGCACCGACAATGGAGGAGAAGATCAAATTGAAAGTGGAAATGGATCAGCTGATTAAATATCTACCAGAGCGTAAAAGGAGGACTTTCCTGCGGTACATGAACAGGGGTAAAAAGAAGGAGAAAACCCATGATGGAGACTTGGATTACGAAGACCAGGGAGAAAATAAAAAGGCGGAAAGTATGCCTCGTACCAGAGAGGAACTAATGGAAAAGTTTGAACAGCTTAAACTAGCAGGAAATGAAGGTGAAAATGGAGATGATCTGCTCTCTGATGATGAAGACTACGAAGATTTGAGTGATGAAGATTTTTCCAATTAGGCTATCAAAAGAAAAGTAAAATAAACATATATCCTTACCACTACGATTGAAAGTATCCAATTTTGAATATTTTTCGAAAGATAGATATTTTATTCAAGCCATTCTGAAATGAACGTTACATGTGATTGATTTACTTTTTTACACATTGTATAAAATCTTCAATTGAACAATGTAAACTATCTGAAACAGAGTGCAAAACAAACTTTTAGTTCGGTGGAACAGACCAAATATTAATAATAGGTAGATCAGAATGCAATCCTTATCAATATGGCGGTCGGAAGATACCGGGCATAGGCATAGAGATCGGCCCAAGGGGATACGGTATGGGTCCTGCCGATGGTTGAGGGGGCGGTGGATAAAATCCACTAGTATGTGAGGGATAAGGATGCATTCCCAGACCCGGTGAACCATGCTGGGGCGGTAAAGGACCAGGTCGTTGTTGATTCATCCCATTGCGAAGTAGTTCCACCATCTTTTCTGCCTTTAACTTTCGACTGTGCATGGCCTTACGTGGCCCCATAAACTGCTCTAAATATGCATCGATTGCCAGCTCATTATCCAGAAACTGTTTGACGATCTTTTCCGACTCCTCTTCGCTTTCAGCTGCAGCTGCTTGCAGGAGGGCTAAGACCGTGTCTGGATTGGAGTTGTTAGACTTGGATTCTAAAACGAAAGAAAATACATTACTAAAATAAAACCAGTGCATTTTCTTAAGAGCCATACTCAATTCCTCAGTCTTGGTCTTCACAGTGTTTGCGAGGGTTTTACCCTGCTCTGAAAGATCATTAACCTTGGACCGCACCTCAATCAACTTAGGCTCCTTTTCAAGATTACTTTCGGCCAAACTGCGATTCTCACCCAAAATGACATCCTTCTCCGATTCCAATGTTTGAACCTAAATAAAACGCAGGAGCAATAACACCATCACAAAGATGACTCAGGTCAGATTGCTGGATTCTGATACTCACTGCTAGGTCGACTCGTTCGTTTAATTTATCGTCATCGTTTAGCAGTTCTTTCAGATCATCAGAACTGAGATTTTGCAGTGTACGGACTGCTTGGGTTAGATACTGCTGGTACATTTGAATTGTTCTAAAACTGCTGTTAATTTTGATACGGTATTGTTGGAATATTAAATTTTACGTACCTTCACAAAAATTAGACACAAATTTTCGTTTGTATTTTGATTGATATTTGACATTACGATTGTTTTTTTTTACTAGTGAGCACAAGGTTAGCCCTCCCTCACACGGAGAAACGAAAAAACTCAAAATTGAGATAGAAAGTACTTAAAAATTAGTCCATCTCCAACACTACTGTTTTGATCGAGGTTTTGATACATTTCTGTTCTCATTGATGAATACTTTTAACCGAGTTTAACCTCGCTTTTAACTTAATCTTGAAGTATAACCAATACAGTTACTTTTACTTTGAAAGTATCCAAAATGAAGTGATGTGATTGTTCTTCGTTTTGGATGAAAAATCGCAACGCACGCCAGTTTTATTTCGGCTATGTTTCCTGCCGAAAGCAAAATTTTGCCCGTTCGTAATCTTATCATCGGAGTCGTGTTCCATAAGTAGTTACAAGGGGTTATTATAGTGCGATGTCAATTATACAAGGTCTGGCCTAACCGGCTTATTGGTATTAGTGAAATGTGGAAATGTTTAGTGGTGTTCGTATTTCATCGCAATGTTTATCTTTTTACACGAAACAGCTGTTTTCTGTGACGACACGTCTGCTATTCGCAATATGGAATGTTGTGCTGCCGTGACATCGTCATTCGCTTGCTCAGCAATGTTTACAACATTTTTGCTTCTAACACCACCCTAATAAAAATTGTATGGTTAATTTGCTTAACGACGTGTTCTGGGTATCATCCAAACCATTTGTGGAATAGTTCAATGATTAGGGTTATCGTTCGTTTATGGTAATTTTTTATTAGGGCAGCAAGCTGCCTGTTGTTCCAGAGATTTTAGAGATGAACTAGCCTAAGGCTAAAAATCTCTTTAATAAAGAATTAAAAAAAAAAAATGATGTTCCAGACCTTGTATGATTGACATCGATTATAGTGAAATAGCTATTGCTGACGTTTATCGTACGCACACTACGTCACGTATACGTATACGCAAAATGTTTTCATCGGGAAAAAAAACTTCATAGCGAAAAAATTTCCCGATGAAAACAAACACTGACACAATCATACTTTAGCAATCTCTATTAGTGTTTACTGTTCCATATCTTTCCATATTAGCGCTTTAAACGCTGTCCAGACTGGAGAGTTATAACAACAATCAATACGAAACTAACGATTTTAAATTGGCTCTCCACTTTAGTAGCCTATTGGTCCCAAGCAAACGATTAACGTACCCTATTCTAGTTGAAATTCTATTGCTACACTATGTTTGTTTTGATTCGCTATGAAAGTTTGACAGATAACATCAGGGGTGTGTGGATTCATGCAGAACATGCAGGGGTGAGTGAAATAGCTTGGGACTGCTTGGGACCGTTGTTCTGGTACTGAGTGAGCCAAAAATAATAATGATTTTCTTCGGGACCCAGTGGTCTTAGAGTTACCTCTATGGTAATAGCATAGAGGTAACTCTAAGACCACTGGGTCCCGAAGAAAATCATTATTATTTTTGGCTCACTCAGTACCAGAACAACGGTCCCAAGCAGTCCCAAGCTATTTCACTCACCCCTGCATGTTCTGCATGAATCCACACACCCCTGATGTTATCTGTCAAACTTTCATAGCGAATCAAAACAAACATAGTGTAGTAATAGAATTTCAACTAGAATAGGGTACGTTAATCGTTTGCTTGGGACCAATAGGCTACTAAAGTGGTGAGCCAATATAAAATCGTTAGTTTCGTATTGATTGTTGCTATTACACAGTAAAATAAAAATAATGTACACTCAAAAATAAATTAAATCAAGAAAGCTTTAAAAGTATTCAAATTCTCGCTTCAACTTCCGAGCCATGATTACTTCGGCAGCTGAGGGAGAGTCGCGAAGAGAGAAAAATGGAACGTCAAATGCAGCCAGACGGCTAGTGTCACGAACTGTCATTTCTAACAGTTGATCAAGAATACACAAGGCGGTCGAGGCTAGCTGTTTTCATATGTGATTATCTACTTCCATCGACTCTCACAACTTTCATCTTTCTTGACATCGCTTGCATCTTCTCGTGGACGAATGAATCACTGAACGAAAAAAGCAGCAAGCCATGTTGTTTGTTTACATTTTGCTTCGTAGTTTTTCCCACAAGTTTTCATCGAACTTTTTGCTGATATTGCTGTAATACCATAGAGGTAACTCTAAGACCACTGGGTCCCGAAGAAAATCATTATTATTTTTGGCTCACTCAGTACCAGATCAACGGTCCCAAGCAGTCCCAAGCTATTTCACTCACCCCTGCATGTTCTGCATGAATCCACATACCCCTGATGTTATCTGTCAAACTTTCATAGCGAATCAAAACAAACATAGTGTAGTAATAGAATTTCAACTAGAATAGGGTACGTTAATCGTTTGCTTGGGACCAATAGGCTACTAAAGTGGTGAGCCAATTTAAAATCGTTAGTTTCGTATTGATTGTTGGTAATACTAACAATCAATACGAAACTAACGATTTTAAATTGGCTCACTACTTGACTAGCCTATTGGTCCCAAGCAAACGATTAACTTATCCCATTCTAGTCAAAATTATAGTACTACACAATGTTTGTTTTGATTCGCTATGAAAATTTGACAGATTAAATGAGGGGTTAGTGGATTTTCCTACATTTCGAGGGGTGAATTGATTAGCTTGGGACCGAAGAGAGTACCAGAGCTGAGCCAAAAAGTTGAGCACGTTATTTCGGGACCTTCTAGCACAAACGAAGTGACAGACGGAGCGGCTCGAAAACTTTGGTGACTAACCTGCTATTTCAATTTTTCAGTGTACCACATGGCAACACCACTACTACTGGATTGTACCACATGGCAACACTACTACTGGATTGTATTAGCATTTTCACCAAAAGTATTAGCATGTTTTGGTTCTATCATAGAGGTAACTCTAAGACCACTGGGTCCCGAAGAAAATCATTATTATTTTTGGCTCACTTAGTACCAGAACAACGGTCCCTAGCAGTCCCAAGCTATTTCACTCACCCCTGCATGTTCTGCATGAATCCACACACCCCTGATGTTATCTGTCAAACTTTCATAGCGAATCAAAACAAACATAGTGTAGTAATAGAATTTCAACTAGAATAGGGTACGTTAATCGTTTGCTTGGGACCAGTAGGCTACTAAAGTGGTGAGCCAATTTAAAATCGTTAGTTTCGTATTGATTTTTGATTAAACTGTGATTAATATCAGATGCTTATTTCTTAGAAAGAGAGTATTAATTTTTAATCATTCGTTTTGATTAAACTGAGTTTAATGTCAAATTGATTAAATTTCAAGCAAAATGGGAATAGTTTAATTTATCAGTGTGTATGTGATAAAGTTTTAATCTTATGTATTATGGTTTTTTTTTTGGAAGTGAACCTTACAAATAATGGGTTGTTAAGAACCATTACCATTCCAAATTCTTGTTTTCTCCATACATTTTCTAAGAGAGGACTCTATTAGAACCTTTTTACTTATGGTTTGATAACTTTAATGTGAATGGTTATGGTAGGCAGTAAGGTCCAGAAAGTTACAAAAGTTTGAAAAGCACCAGCGATGCCGCTTCCTACATAAATTTATTTTATTTTCTCAGGGCACGAAACAACAGGAAGACATGTACCGACCTTGCAAATCAATATCCTGATCGACGTCAATGTGGAACAGATCCAGCAGGTGGACAACGAACTACAACGAGTGCTGAAACGGCAGCGTAACAAATAGTGGATTCGTGCCAACAAGGAACAGTATTCTCTGGCACAGGTATCCCGTGGGCACGAGGACAACTCCGAGACAACACGCTTGCATCACCTGACCCTGGTGCAACCGAGGGGGACGACTCTATCTACGATGCAGAAAATATTGTGTTTTGCTGTGGCTAGCTGCGCCCACGCTGAGTAGATAGAAAGAAGATTGATGACGATTCTGAATATTTCCTGCAAAAAGATGATGCGCGATACAAGTAGATGCGAGAAATGAAAGAAGATTTTTCGAAGATTGATTCGCTAGTGTGAGATTTGTTGAGCATCTAGACTTGAGATTAAGATGTGTCGCCCCCCTCGGGTGCAACCATAAACCATTATGCAGCTCACCTACAACACGGTGCATACCAAGGACTCGGAAACCATTCGGGTTGGTTCAAATTCCAACATCAACACGTAGGACTTTCACTGGTGGTGTTTAGCATATTGAGCAACATTTTTCTTAATTGTAATTGTTTATTGTTTAAGGAAAATAAAGTTTTTATAAATGTTTCTACCATGCAGTAATCATTTTAGCTGGGAATATGAATTCCTGTAAATTTTGAGGTAAATTTCGTTCAGTTTTATGCGTATTTTCATTAATATAACTGATGAATTTTCGTTTGGTTTTCAGATAGCGAACATTTTAAAATTGTATTCTAGTATTCCCAAATCAAGATGACACGCATATGAAACACATAGGATAAGGTGTAAGAAAGAGCAAAAGATAATCATCCGAATATCGAATGATTAGTGTTATAGGGCTCCATCGAATCATACAATATTTGGCGAAGGTTATCGGTAAAAAATTATCGGTATTTTTTACCAATTCTAGGTATTCTTAACCGACTTTAAGGTATGTGCATCTTAGCGTGTAGTTCTATACGTAATTTTTTAACCTTAATTTGAGGATTTTTTTCTTACCGTGCCATGAGGATTGCTTTTGTTTGTTTTGTTTACCCGATGAAAACGTGCTTCTACTCGGATGGATTACTCCTCTATTCTCCGTAATTTGTAATTTGCAATATTCACTACAGTTTACTGCATTCAACGCAACTAATCAACTACTAACCAAATGGCTCGACGGCCAGAGCATCTAGCTCCTCCTGAAATCGTAAGGTTCCAGTTAGCCAACCGGTAAGACCATCAATCATGGGCCATTATTTTTCTTTCAGTTCTATAACGAAGATGAAGCCCGCAAGTACACAAACAACACCCGCATCATCGACATCCAGGTACAGATGTGTGAAAGAGCGATTGAGTTGCTCGCCCTGCCAGATGATGAAACGTGCTTGATTTTGGATGTTGGCTGCGGGTCGGGACTATCCGGAAGTGTGCTGGAAGATCAAGGCCATGCTTGGGTTGGCGTGGACATAGCGAAGGCTATGTTAGATGTGGCGGTGGAACGGGAAGTGGAAGGGGATTTAATTCTGACTGATATGGGTCAGGGAATGCCTTTCAAAGCCGGAACATTTGACGGAGCGGTGTCCATTTCGGCGTTGCAATGGCTGTGCAATGCCGACAAAAAATCACACGTTCCTCAGAAGAGATTGTATCAATTCTTCAGTACGCTATTTTCATCTTTGGTAAGTAAGGTTTGGGGTTTGCTTGAAAGTCTTGCTATTTAATGGATTGTATTTCTTGCAGACGCGGAATGCCCGAGCAGTCTTTCAGTTTTATCCGGAAAATTCCGAACAGATCGAACTGATAACGGCACAAGCAATGAAAGCTGGCTTCTACGGTGGCCTGGTGGTAGACTACCCCAATTCTACCAAAGCAAAGAAATACTATCTGGTACTGATGACGGGTGGAGCTGTGAAGCTTCCTGCAGCACTGGGAACTGAGGAAGATTCAAGTCAAATCCCGTACAGTAGAAAGCGAGAACTCGCACACAATGCCCGTGGAAAACCTTTGAAGAAATCTCGCGAATGGGTACTGCAGAAAAAGGAACGTCGACGACAGCAAGGAAACGAAACTCGAAGCGACTCCAGATATACCGCGCGGAAAAGAAGTGGAAGATTCTAAGGTCAGTGGACGTTTGCTCTTTGATTTCTTCTATAAATTGTTATTGAATGCATAGGAAGAGTTTCCGTTGATCCGAACCACCAAAATACGTAGAAAATCAAATTGGTCTGAGCATTCGTTTCCATTTGAATGAAGAAAACAACTTGGTTATAAATTAAATTTATTTCATTTGCCTATCTGTTAAACAATAGAAACTGCTTTTGAAGCATCATTTATGTACATTCTTGACCAATAACGGCTCAAACTATCAATATATCAGGATATTCCCTACTCGTCACCGTCCGCTTTTTTCTGTATCGCCTTGGGCGAATCGTGCGAACTTTCATTCAATAGTATCAATCCGTAGAGCAGTGCTATTCCTACCATCGCGTACACAACGTACCCCTGCAGCACATGTGAATCGAAGAGGTCATCCCGCTCTGCCTTTTCCCGAAACTTTGTTTCGGCAGCTTTCTTTCGTTCAAAATTTTTCCCATAGTGAGTACGGGACCACTCGTCGAAATCGTAGATCGGAGTCCTTCCGGATGGCGTCGGAACGTGCGTTCGAGTCATCCGTTTCTTGTAGAAGCGGGTCTGCGGATCGTCTTCCTCCGGTTCCCTTTCAACCGTTTGATGGTGGGCATATTGCCGTCCGGCAGTATGTAGAATACCCTTGTCGTACAACTTACGGAGTCGGTAATTTCCAAGCACCTCGTAGGCTTCGGTGATTGAACGAAATTTATCCGCCGCGTTTTCGCTATCTTTGTTCTTATCCGGATGGTGCAGCTTCGATAGTTTGTAGTACGCTTGTTTGATGTCATTCTGGGTTGCAGCGGGAGTTAGTCCGAGAGAGTCGTAGTGAGACCGCTGAAGGATGCTGCATATACTTATACATCGATGAACCAATGGATATACTGCACTTATTCCTTTATTTTCGACATTCAACTTGCTTTGGTTCAGGATTGTGCTGATTACATTTGATGATTTGAAAATATTCATTCTACTGAATTTGTTCAATGCTATTTTATGTCTGCACTTTTAGGAAGTGGTCATTATTTTAAAAACTTTTGTATAAAAATCCACGAACCAAAACAAGTTGCGATGAAGAAAAACAAACGTTATGTCATGTTTTCATGTGTTTATGTAATTTGACTATCAAATGACAGTAAGCTGACGAACCATCAAAGTCTACACTGATAAATTAAACTATTCTCATTTTGCTTAACATTGAATCAATTTGACATAATTGAAAGTTATCAAGTTTGGATAAAATTTAATCATTTTTGATTCTGTTTTGATAATTTCTGATTGAATTTTAATCTTTTTTGATTGAATTTTAATTATTTTTGATTGAATATCATAATATTCTACTAGAATACATTTTAATACATGGGCTGCTTTTTAGTTGGGCGGTGACCCAATTAAAAAGCAACTGGATGTCAAAATCTCTTGTCAAATTGAAGTTGACAACCAGACGTCAATTCTTTCTAAGGGTGAGCAAATGCATTTTACATTGCGTATTGTGTTTAATGAATGTTTATTTGAAATTCATACAAAAATAATAAAAATTGCACACATTACAGGTTTCACTTTTGCCACTCAGCTTCAATCAGCTTAGTTCTCAAGGATTTGAGTCGCGTAACCTCCGAAACATTGTTTTCTACGTATTGAATGACCTTGTCAAGTGATTGCAGTACATTAGAGAAATCCTGCTTTGTTGTCGGTTCCTCATCGACTGTAATTAGCCCAGATCCGGATACGTTGCCTGAAGCACTCTCGTTGGTGTCGTTTACCCACTCTTCTTGCATGCAGACTGATTCATCGAAACCACGGAGAACGCCAGTTACAATCTCAACGTCGGTGTATACCTGACTCGTTCCACACAGCACATTTCCCTCAGAGTCTATAACTTGGTCATTCAACCATCGTTTCACATACCTGTTTTGAATACGATGTATGTAGTATTACGCAGAGTATCACGCTTCCAATGAACAAGTACCATTAATTCCGCTTTTCGTAAAATTTACACAACCACAACAAACAATGCGTGCACCCCTCAAGAAATTTCACCCTTCTGTCAGTTGGCCCAACTAACGAATCGAATTCGTTAGTTGGGCCGAGGTGATAGCCCAACCAGCGACTACTGCCGAAGTGTCCGCATAAATGTGAACCATTACTTGACCTTACCGAAAATGGTTAAAAATTGTTAATAATGCATGCTAAACTTTAACTGAAATCGGTATGGAACTTTACATGAACGCTGTAAATTTATTGCTCAGATTTCTGGACAGCAGTTTGGAGATAGGAAATTGATTCATATGAAGACGTAAAGGAATACATTTTACTTTCACCACAGAACAGATAGGTAACTCAGAGCAAACGGTTTCATCAGAAACTGAGCTCATGCTTTTCATGTAATTTTTGCTATTCCTTTCTATTTTCATTTCGCAGTGCACATGATGATTTCAAATCTTGTATAAATTGGTATAATTACCGTTAAAACATTTTGCTTATAGTACGCTCCTAATTGTTTGAACATGCAAAAATTAAATTTTCTTTTTTTCAATGCTTGGCAAAAATAATCATTATTGACGTAATTCTAGCGGTTTTGTTGGAATACGTGGATAGGGTATTACATTGCTTTGCATAAAATTACTTTTAGTATCACAATTTGTTTGAACCAATTAAAAACATATTGTATGGGATGTTGGTAAAATGTCTCGTTTTTAATTAAGGTGATTGCAAATGTGTTTGTGTAACAACTATGTATGCATGTACAACTATGCTACTTCCTGTTCAGACTCTGTATGATTATAACAATAAGGTTCGGTCAAGGTACGGTCAAGCAATTGGTGTATTATTTGTTCAATTCAACTAAACAACAACGAAAACGCAACGTAAAAGTTTAAAGTCCGTGCGCGGACAAAATGATATGGTTCAAAAGATCTGTCTGCAGGTTTGTGCCAAAGAGGAGTCTCAGATTTTTTTTTAGAAACTTTGCCCACAAGTTTACGGATTTTTACATTCGTCACTTGTTTTGCAATTTTGCCACCCTCAAGCATTGTAAAAATAATATTTTATATTCAAATTTTAAATTAGTTAGATTTTTGATCTTAACACAAAAAAAATAAGAGACTCCATCCTGAAGTTTTCACAAGTGAAAGATAAGAAATCTTCAAGTAGGGTAATTGTGTCAGTTTTAAAACTAATGCTCCAGTTTTGTGCTCTAACATTGTAACGAAATAAATAATGTAATGAATGAAAAAATCTGAAATTCAAGATAGGGCCAATTAGATGACAACTAGGGTTAAAAACTGTCACACTTATCCTTCGAAAAAATATTGAAAAAAATTGATTATTGGCGAGATGGACCGTCACACGGTCTAAGCCAGGGAAAAGAGGAGCAGCAAAAAAAAAAAAAAAAAAATTGATTACTTAGAAAATGGTTCTTTCGGTTTTTCTTTGCAACTTTTCTCCATTTTCATGGAAAATATTTTTCAAATTATATTTTTATGAATTTCTGAGATAATTTCACTTCATTATAAAACACTTTTTTGTCCTTTGATTTGTTTTCCGTTGATCTGGTTTTCCGTGCTGAGCACCAAATACTACCGACGCCAGGGAGGCAGAGCTCCCACACCTGGACCCTACTTATTGACCCATCAACTCAAGGAACGGGGACCAACGGCTTTACTTCCTTTCCGAAGGAAGGCGTGAACAGGGATTTTATGCCTCAGAAAATCCGGCGGCGTCGACTGGGATTGAACCCAGGCTTTTTGAGGTGAGAGGCAATCACGATTGCCACTACACCACCAGTGCCGCTATAAAACAATCCAAAAACTTCATTTGGTTCCAGTGATATAAAAGAAACTTTTTTTGTTTATTAATTTATTTGGTAAGGCTCAACCGAATTAACTTTACAGAGCCGAGGATTCTTGGTCACTATACAATACATCTTTAAAAATATAGTCAAAAGGTACAACACAATAAACACTTTATCTTCCGCTATCCAAAAAGCCTCCTCCATCAGAACTGGAGCCGCTTCCAGTAGTTTCATTGTATGGCAAATTGTTGCACGCCAACGAGGGTCAGAGCGCGTCCATTGCAGCAATGGACGCAAAACGTGGTCAGCACTCACACACTCATCACGAAACGGTTGCTTTCCAAAGTCGACGACGCATCGACCGAAAGAACTGCTGATGAAGAACAATGAGGAGGACCACACAATGGTTGCTGCCGAGAAAACAGACGATCGCGTAGCACACATCGAGAGTGGTCTGCTTTTGTCGACAGCCGAGTGAATACTGATAAAAGAAACTTGATATGTGACAAAACCAGATGCATTACTAAATTTAATCAAACCAAAAGTAACCGAGAACATTGGGATTGAACCCCGAACAACCGAGATGAGAAGCTTAGTAACCCTAAACCACAGATGCTTCGGGTGAAGGGATATAATCAATAACATCAATAACAGAGCCAATTATCTTTGAATGATAGTTGAATAATCGTTTAGCTCAAAAACATACCATTTATTTTTAAACACACACACACACACCTCTCTCCCTCTCATATGCAGCTTTAACGAATATTTAATTTCTTAGCTTTTTCTGTTCCAGCAGATTTTGATTTCCGTTTCACGCTTGACCTACACTTTTTCAGTGATTCGTTCAAAAATCTTACTTTTCCTTTCATTAACATGTTTAAGTATTTACCGCAAACCATACTGCGACATTGATCACAAACTAATTCAAAAGGCTGCTCCTCCATTATAAGTTTTGCAAGTTTATCCTTGATTTCAACGGAACTTTCTTTAAGTAGCCTTTCGAAATTTCCGTTGAACAGCGACGAGATGTTGGCCAGAAACATTGACAACTGTTCACTAACCTTCACATGTTTCACTTTCTTAAGTTTTGAGAGCATGGAAGTGTTTGCACTGGCATGTTTGTCACTTTTTACTCTATCCAAACAGGCTTTATGAGTAATGGTACTAGTTATCCAACCCGCTGTGTAGTTAATGTTATTCAGTTGTGAGCTGTCATATTCATCCAAACTGCAATTTAGCTCTACCGGATCCATTTCAACATCGGCTGGTCCCTTTGCATTCCGACAGATTTTGAGTTTGGAAAAATCGGCCAATTGAACTACATTAACTCCCATGTCTTGATGACAGTTTGATTTTTCTGGTGTGGTGATCAGTTGGTTAATTACAACTGATTTGTACGCTGACCGAAAGCTTAAGGGATCGGGCCGATTATTGTTTGCGTTCTTCATCCTGATCCCACCAAAAAAGTTTTCGAGGCAGTCTTGGTTCAGACACCTTGTTTGCAATTGGGTAAAGCCGTAATTCATGCACAAATCTTCAAAAATAAGTTTCAATGAATTAACACCCAAAAGCCATCCATCGATAAACCATGGTTTTCTACTCTGTTTTGGCAATAGCTTAAAGTTTACTTCCTAAAATAAAGACGATTTCATATTATGTAGATCAAGTTATGTATTTTTTTATTTTTAAACTAACCTCTTTAGTAGATTCCCAGGCATTGATTTACTTTGCTTGTAAACCTGAGAGTTTGTTAATACGCGATAGATTGAAGTTCTGATAATTCAAAAACGTATTTTGACAAAAGATTTTGAGCGATACGTATGCTTTGAAAAGGGATATTTCGTCTTGGATTGGTTTTTATAGTTTGGACAGCTTAGAGTTGCACCCCTAGATTTTGACCATAACAAATTTCCATTACAAGTGCAAAATAGTACATTTTACTATGTTTTATTAATTCGGTATTTTCTTTGTTCAAGTTACAGATTATAAAACTTTAAAACATAAAAGAAACTGCGCAATATTTTGAATTACATCTCATTCACCTGCAAAAATAGGTAAGACCCAAATCAAAAGCATCAATGATCCACTAATTTCCTTGCAACCGCTGATTTTATATATGAGACCGGTAGAATTTTAC